AATGTTCTCCAAGAAGAAAGACTCTTCCTCAAGGAATTAAATATATTGGTGAAGGATGTACTGATTTCCTTGAAAACTGCTGTGGTGGCTGTCCCTTGCAGTTCTGGGTTAAAGATGGCCAATATTGCCTTTAAAGGGGGCTCCCTGATTTCAGTGGGATAGTGGGATTCCCAGAGTGACAAAGGATAAGTGGAAGCACTTAATCCTCAGATAAAAAGTAGGTATGGTTTTAATAGGCAAGAGGGCCAGACCTGTCATCAGAATGGTTTGGATCTCTGGTGGATAACCATCGTGTCCTAAGGAAAAACAGATGGGCAGTACACTTGATGAGAAGAAAAAAAAGAAAACAAACAAACAAAAACCTCTAGGTTTATCAAACTGAGGCCTGACTTAAGTGGCCACAATGTAAGAATTATGGCATGTCACCTATACACAGGCTGAGCTTGTTCAAAGACACAGAGCCCCTGCAAAAAAAGGAGACAATGGGTTCCACTGAAGCAGGACCCTACAACATTGCATCAGGAGCATACTTGAAGTCTTCCTCCTAGCCTTTCCAAGAGAACATGCAGCTTTTCATCAAGGAGACAGTGCACGTGGGAAACAGAATCACTCGGGCTTTTTAGGGGTTACTCAACACTGGCTCTAAGCCCATGCTAACCTTTAAGGACCAGAAGATCACTGTGGTAAACCAGTCAGATCAAGAGCTGTGATGTCATATGAAGAAAGAAGTGTTCTCCAATCCATCTCACAGTGGACCCAATGAATCCATGAACCCACCCTGTGTTCCTGAACACAGTTAAAGGCTCCCTAAACTATGGAGTAAGGGTTATCAGCATAAGAAGGGCCAAGTGTTTAAAAAAAAAAAAAAAAAAAAGGCCAAGTAAAATCCCCTAGATGTGCTCCTTCCTAACAAAATAATAAATCCAAAGCAACAGCACATCTCTGTGGAAACTGGAGGACAATACCAACTTAAAAGACTTAAAAGATGGTGACACAGGGATTGTTACGACATTCTGTTTCACCAGCCAGTGCAGAGGACTTGGATCTTCGAGAATGACTGTGGATTACAGTGAACCAAATGAAGTGGTGATGCCAATTGTAGCTGTTCCAGATACAGTCTCTACTGGGACAAATCAACACAATCCCTGGCACCTCGTATGCATCCATCAAGCTGACAAATGCTTTCTTTTTACCTATTCCAAAAAAAGACCACTGGAAGCTGTTTTCATCTTACAGTCCAGAAATACACTTTGACTGTCATAGCTCAGGGCTTCATCAATACTCCAGCTATCTTTCATTATTTGGTCCACAGACTGTGGGCATCTCAACACCTCACAGCTCCACTACATTGTTAGTTCAACCCGCAAGTGTATCCCCACCCACACTTGGTGCCATCCAGCTTTCTACTTTTTGCCAACCTAACAGGTGGGAAAAGACACTATTACTCTTTTCATTTTAATTTGCCTGTCTCTGATTATTTAATAATTCTAAATACCTTTTCCTATGCATGTTAAGATTTACTATTCTTTAACCTACTTATTAATAGCCTTTGACTATTTTTCCACAGAGGTTGCTGCCCTCTTTTTATTGATATGTAGTTCCTTGTCTAGTCTACATATTAATCCCTTATCAATCTGGGCACTGCAAATACCTTCTCTCATTCTTTGTCTTTCACTGAATGAAAATCTTTAGTTTTTATATAATCGAAGTCATTATCTTTTACCTTTATAAATTTTTGAAGCTTCCTTGTCCCTTAAGGAAAGAGCTTTTTCAACAATGTCTTCCATTAATTTTATAATTTCTCTCACATTTAGGTCTTTTTAATTTATCCATAACCCATCCTTTCTAAAGCGTAAGGTTTGCTTTTTCTCCATATAGTGAGCCACTCTTCCTAATGTGACTCCTTTCTCCAGTGACTTATGATGCCACCCTTAAGTTCCTGAACACATATGGGCAATTTGTTCCCCAAGTCTATTTTTCTGTTCATGCACTGACACTACAGTTTTTATTACTACAGCCTTGAAACAGTTATCTTAATTTCTGATGAGGCAAGCTCCACCAAAACAAATATTAAAGATTGCTTTAGCTATTCACAAACTTTATCCCATCTGCCATATGAATTTTAGATTTAGGTTACTCAGTTTGTCAGACAAACCAACTGGAATCTTGATGGTAATTTAATCGAATTTATAGATCAAAATGGAGAAAAATGACCCTCATAATAAAACATATCCCAAGAACGTGGAAAGTTTTTCCTTATTTAGATCCTCTTCTAGTTCCTTATTAAAGTTTTAAAGTTTTCTTCTTAAAGTTCTTATGTACTCTTGTGTTAATTCCTAGAGACTTTACAGTTTTGATGTTTTTATTTATTACAATATTTACTTTTGATTACCTTTCCTAGTTGGTTATTGCTAGTGTAGTAAATGCCACTAATTTTTGTAGTTTGATCTTCAATCCAGTAACCCTGCTAAACTCTTACTAGTTCTAATAGTTTCTCTGGATTCTAATGGTTCTTCTAGGTAAGTGATAATATCTGCAAACAATGAGTTTTTATGCTTCCCTTCATATCCTTATATTTATTCTTCCCCTTTGTAGTGTTAGCCAGGACTTTTCTTACCGTGTTAAACAACAACAGTGATAGAGGGCATCCTTGTAACTGATCTTTAAATGAATGTATCTAAAATTTCTCCATTAAGTATTATTACTTACTAGAGGTTTTTGGTAATGACCTCAATCTAGTTACCTCATATTCCAAGCTTGCTAAGAGTTTTTATCATATATAGTTGTTGAATCTTATCAAATGTTTTTATGGTATCAAGATAATCATGATTTTTCTCCTTTAGTCTACTAATGTGATAAATTACCTTAATAGTAAATAGATGTTGAATCATATCTACATTCTTAAACTCCACGGATCACGATTTCTTTTACACAGACATGAAGTAGGATTTTCCTATCTATGCTAATAACTGAAACATCTATAATTTTCTCATATCGTCCTTATCTAGGTTTAAAATCAAGATTTCACTAACACTAACTTTATAAATTGAGCTAGGCATCTTTATATTTCCCTATTTCCCAGAACAACTTGTAAAAAGGAATTGTTAAAGTTCAATGCAACTCACTGATCTCAGCCCAGTTTTTGAAAGTGGAGGTCTTTACCATGTCAGTTTGTTAAATATTAATTCAAGCCATCCATTTCTTCTGACACCAACTTTCAGCTTGTATTTTTCTAAGAATTTATACTTTTCATCTAGGCTCTCATATTTATTAACCTATAGTTCATAAAATTCTTTTTTAAAATTCTCACGCTTGGGGCGCCTGAGTGGTTCAGTCGTTAAGCATCTGCCTTAGGCTCAGGTCATGATCCCAGGGTCCTGGGACGGAGCCCCACATCAGGCTCCCTGCTCCGTGGGAAGCCTGCTTCTCCCTCTCCCACTCCCCCTGCTTGTGTTCCCTCTCTCGCTGTGTCTCTGTCAAATAAATAAATAAAATCTTAAAAAAAATAAAAAACAAAAAAATTCTCATGCTTGTAGTTATTTCCCATTTTTCCCTTAATTATATTTGCATCTTTTTTTCTTGATCAATCTTATCAGAGGTCTAGCTTATTAATCTTCAAAGAACAATCTTTTGGTTCAGCAAATCTTTTGTTCCTAATTTCATTGGTTTCTGCTCTTAATTTGATGGTGTTTTCTGAACTCTTCAAATGAACCATGTAAGCACTAAACAAGCTTTGTCAGCATTTAGATAAGTGACCTGGCCACTCTGTCCAAGGCTTGGTTTCACTATATATAGACTTCAATAGACAAACTATATTATTCTCACATATGCATGATAAAAAAACAACCATATCCAATTCTTACCAACCATACCTACACATGAAAGTCCTTGACCAAAGCTTTACCTTGAAGGCAAATAAATTAGATTATGTGCTTGCACCCACCAAAAAAATGAAAGTGTAAAGCTGTAATTGTATATCTGAATCAAGGCAGATATTTTCTCTGCACAGCTAATTGGACAATTACTGGTACCGCTTGATAAAATTAGTAACCAGAAATGAAATCTCCAGTTGCTTTACCAGATGCTATTCAAATCCTGCAGTTATTAATAGGAGAGTAAAATCTGGCTGCCATGGTCACTTTTCACCACTACCACCACCTCCAAAAAAACCCACTCAAAGCAAAAGCACTTTTTTCCCGTAGCTATAGAAGCATACCTCCTAGTTAGGGGCAGTTTGGGATTACAAAACAGATTTTGGTCTTCAATCTTTCTGCTCGCAATTGAACATTAAGGCAAGGCAGATCACTAACATAAAGTTCAACATTCAACATAATCTTGGACTTGGACACATGCTAAATGGCTTATTCTCATGAGTGTAGGCTTTGAAAAGTAATTGTATACGTTATTAGCTTCAAAACGGACGTCGCTCCCACCGCATTGGTGTGACCCAGGAAACAACTCCTACATTTCCCTATCAGGACGCAGAAGGTGTACACTGAGGAAGGGAAAGAACGAGATGTAGATATTGGTCAACTTTCTAATTCCCGAGTTGTTTCACGCAGACTAGCTAAAAGCACAAGAACACAATTGCCACAGTTCAATCCGGTTACAAAAAAAAAAAAAAAAAAAAAAAGGTTCTCCCTAACGAAACTCGGGCGGCCTTATCTTCCCCTCACGTTTGAGGGCGAAACTTTGAAGGGGGAACGGAGAAGAGCTTCTTAATGTTGCGAGAGAGCCAGCTGTGATAAAGATCGCATTTGCAGGAGAACTTGGGGCTGGGTGCACACCAGGCTGCCTCTCTAGGCCAGGTAACACAAGAAGCCAGGGCCGCTCCGGCGCTGGCCGCAGACACCAAAAGAGGGGGGGAAGGGAGGAGGGGAGGGGAGGAGAGGAGAGACCCAGGCCTGAAACAAAGGAAGCGGGGCTGGCCGAGAAGGGTGGATTCGGCGTCCGGGTGGGGAGGAGAAAAGCCAAGGCTGCTGGGGAGAGGCTGGACTCACAGAACTTGGAGGTGGAGGTGTTGATGTTGATGGTGGAGCTGGGGGTGGGGGCGGGGGCCGCCTTGGCCACAGCGGCGGCCGTGTCGCAGCTCTTCAACATCATGATCACCCCATTGGCCTCTGGCGGTGGCGGCGGCCCCATCGAGAGCCCCTCCTTGGGGCCTTTCCTGTCCACCGAGGCGGCGGGCACCGCCAGCAGCTGCCCCCCCGGCGGCTCTCGCGCAGGGGCTTGGATCGACGAGGGGGGCGGCGGCGGTGGCTGGGGCTGCCGGAAGCCGTCCACCGCGGCCTCCCAGTTGTTGTGGTTCTGGTCGTCCATCATCGCCACGTAGCTGCCCCACTCCTCCTCTTCCATGCTTTCCTCCATCCTGCAGGCCCCCAGCACCCGCCCGCCTCACAGGCACCTGCCGCCCGTCTCAACCCCGGGCCAGGGGGCACCGCAGCCTCCTCGAGCTCACATCGCCGGGGGCCGGCACAGGCGCGGCGGGGAGGGGAGCAGCGCGCCGGGTCTCTGCGTCTCCGCCGGGCCGACTCTTAGAAACAGGGCTGACGGCGGTGGGCGCTCCCGGGCTCTAGCCTGGGAGAGGCAGCCGTAAAGCGGCAGCGCCCCTCACGACATTTTACAGCAACTTCCAACAGGCGGTTGGAAAGGGTAGCTGGGGGAGCGGCCAGGAGGGCACGTGGTGCGAGGAACGAGCCAGGAGAAAGCAAAGCAAAAAGGGGCAGGAGCGGTGAGTCACCCTCACGCAAAAGGGCAAAGGTTTGGCTCGCCTCAGCTGGCCCCGAGCTGAGACAGGAGGGACCCTGGGTCCGGAGGAGCAGGCGTCGATCCCGCCCCCGGGCCGGCCCCACGTGACAAGGGGGTTTGCGCACGCGCGTTCTGTGTCTGGTTACCAGGGCGACCGGAATCTGGCCCGCTCCTGAAGATGCGCCCCAGATCCTCTGGCGTTCGCTGTGGTACAGGCTCCCGTTTCTGTGGTGGTTTTCGTACGCCCGCCGGATTTACTGGGGCTTCGTACCGCACAGGGGCTCGCGGCCCGGGCCTTTGGCGGACACGGAGCTAAGAGGCCGCAAGAGGCCTGGGTTCGCACATTATAAAAGGGTGGGACTGCCCTGGGTGGCCCTTGACGGGTCTGCTGGTGGGCGTCTCAGCCCATACTACCGAAACTTTCGAAACCAAGAATAAAAACCGAAACATAGCAAGGCGGCTTTAAAAAAAAATGCGCTTGAGCTATTCATGGACCTTTTTTTCCAAGTTCCTTAACCTCTATACACTGAGGCCAGGAATTTTAAATTTTTAAATGCCAAGCTTCACACAGTGTTCAACAAACCTGACTACAAATTTGGGATTATGTGTGAGAGTCCTGAAGGGCAAAGAGGAGAGGTTATGTAACTATAATTTCTTTAATTTCCCTGCATTCTCACATTATAGCAATAGTATGTTACAGGAGAACAAATTTTATTGTTTATTGTGTTTATAGCTCATTCTACCCACTGGTGATAAAGTTGACTAGAAAAACCTGTTATTATTTACTCTAGCAGATAATGAATCTTTATTTCCACAGATGTGTAATTAATGTGAAGAATCACTTCAGCTGCTGAAAAATCATTATCTCGGATGTATTTCAATGTCCACATTTATTTGGGCTTTTCTACATATGTTTTCCCAGTGTATTCTGTGCTATACTTAATGCGACTGTTCACTCGTCACTTAACAATGATTTAGTTCTAGATGGTGCTCCCACATATTAGTGGCACATATTTTTTGAAGCAGTGCATATTTTTAATTACATGGGCCTACTATACTAATTCTCTGGCCGTGGGAAATTTTTGGAATATTTTCTTCAGTGAAAGATAATTGAGTAAAGTGCTACGGGTGGAAAAAAATGTAACCTGAGAATTCTGTGCCCAGAAAAAAAAAGAGGGTGGAAAAGCAAAACAAATTACAATCTTTTATAGACAAACAACAACTCAGAGTTTATCATCAATAGACTTTTATATAGGTGGGTGGGTGACTGTGACTGGAGATAAAGAGGTTTCTACATAATAAAATATTCGATACACAAGGAGGATACAAATCATAGCTATATCTCTAATAACATGGTCACAAAATATATGAAGCAAAAGTTCATGAAAGTACAAGAAGGAAGAGAAATCTACCGTCGTGGCAGGTGATTTTCACATCTCTCTCTCATAGATTGCAGTGGGTTGAATAGTAGCCCCCAAAAAGATATATCTGTGTCCTAATCCCTGGAACCTGTGAATCTTACTTTATTTTAGAAACAGGATCTTTGCCGGACGTGAGGCATGCAATGCTGACGTGACGAGAACCATTTTGGACGTTGGTTTTCTTTTGTAAGGGGCTTCGGAAGGCTTCCTTTAATCTTTACTTTTGGTCTCATTGCCAAGAAGTTGTTCAAAAGGTCATAAGACCTGAGTTCAGAAGAAACAGCTTAGAGTCGAGAAAATGCTGCCTCTTGAAACGGATATAGCAGTGGAAACCAAAGAGAGTAAGGTTTGAGCATCATATAACACAGGAGCTTAAAGATCTATGCTCATTGATAAAGAGGCTAGTGTCCGAGCGCTTGGAAAGGAGAGAGAGAGAGAGAGATAACAGAAATGTGCAAGCCTGATCGGTCACAAAATCGAATTACCGAAGTAAATGCAAAACAAGAGAAACATGCAGAAAAAAAGGAAAAATAGAAGAAGAGAAATCTACAGGATCGATCCAGGAGATACAATCTACACGTAATAGGAATACCTGAAACGGGAAAGCAAATGAAGCTGAAACAATAAGGACCTAATTGAAGAAAATATTCCAGATTCGAAAAACGAACTAAATCTGCAAATAGAAAAAGTTCATAGAGTATCAGTAAAACAACGAAAAGAAAGCAACACCTAGACCTAGCCCAGTGACGTTTTTAAACTGGAAGGATAAAGAAAAAAATTCTACAAGTATTCAGAGAAAGCAGGTTACCTGTAAAGGGGTAAAAGTCAAACTGACGCGATTTTTCTCTTGCAACTCTAAATGCCGAAAGTATCTACAGCTTTAAGGGAAAATGATTTTGAACTAAGAGTTATATATCCTGCCAAGTTATCGTTTCTAAGTGAAAGCAACTGGAAGACATTCCTAGATATGCAGGGGTTAAGAAAGTTTATCAGCCAAATACCATTCTTGAAAAATTTGCTAAATGATGTTACTGCAGAGCACAAAAACAACTCGAGTAGTGAGGCAATTGTATGAAAAAAAAATGGCGGGTAAGCCTTAAAGCTAGTTAAATATCATTAAAGATTAAATTGTTATATGTAGGGTTATAAAACTAAATGCAAAGATAAATTCTTGAGTTGGGTCTAAAATTTCAGTTTGTCTTGTTTTAAACCGAAAAGGTGTGCTAAATGTTCAATGCAGACAGCAAGTAAGTACTGTTTTTAGTATGTAATGTAGATAAAGATATGCATGCTCTTCAGCTAAATAAATAAAAAGGGCTTTGTTACTGTGGTGGACAGGACACCTAGAGTAAAGGCATTCCAAGTGTTAATCTGATAAAATGGGAAATTGGTACAGTTTTGTGTCCTTTATTTTTAATTATAGAGGGGGGAAAAGTAACAAGTTTGTTTATAATGTTAATGCTGACAATGTAAAGAAAATTTCCAAATCCCTGACTGGGGAGGTGGTAGATGAAAACCTTGTTTTATGTACATCTTGCCTAGGGAAAATCAGTAGTAACCACTTCATGTAGTAGTTCATTCTAAGTAAATTTGACGTTGAGATAAGTGTTACAGATAAAAGAGGAGAGGAAATGGTGAAAAAACAAAAACAGTAAGGAAACATTAAAATTAGCATAAAATAGACTAACAGAGATAACAGGTGAATTATCACGCTCATAAACAGGCTAAACAGGCTAAATATCCCTGTTAAAAAGATTCAAATTCGGTCAAAAATCAGTCTCTGAAACTGGAGGTTTACATTTGTGTAAAACAAAGGATAAAGGAGTTTAAAGATAATGAAAACTGTTAAAGCATAGAAATTGAAATAAGGAGCAACATTTTTATCAGAATTTAAGCTATAACAAAGTATAAAACTGTAGGATGTAGCATTTAAGAAGCTTTATGTGGTAAATAACATGGCATTCATCTGTAAAATGTTCAATATCTTGATGTGAGTGGTAGTTTTACTGCTGTATATATAGTTAAGTGCATTCTAAGTACTTAATAAAGTAATTCTTAATTCAAAAAAAAAAAGAAACAGGGTCTTTGCAGATGTAATTAAAGCTGAGATGAGAGCTTCCTGGATTAGCCAAGTGGGCCAAAAAACCAATGACAAGTGTCCTCCTAAGAGAAAGGCAGCGGGAGATGTGGGAAGACAAAACAGGAGGTAATGTGACCCCAGAAGCAGAGACTGGAGTGATGGAGCCACATTCCCACTCAAATGTCAACAGGCACCCAAATCTGGAGGAGGCACAGAATGGATTCTCCTCTAGAGTTTCCAGAGAATTTCACCCTGCCAGTGCCTTGATTTCAGACTTCTACCTTCCAGAACTGTGAGAGAATACATTTCTGTTGTTTACCAGATCACTCGTGGTAATTTGTTACAGCACCACAGGAAACTAATACATAGATTAAGAGGATAAAAAAATCTTTAAGGAACTAGAAGATCTGAATAACACAATTACCAAGCTTGATTTAATGAATACAAATAGGACATTGCACTCAGCAACCACAGAATAAATATACACAAGGATATGTGTAAAGTTGACCAAAAAATTGAGCATACTAGGTCATAAAGCAAGTCTCTCTACAATGTCTAAGGATTGGTATCATAGCAACCACGTTCTCTGACCAAAAATCAATAACCAACAGACAGCTAGTAAACCCTCATATTTCTACTCTTCCAGTCAACTCATGGGTCAGAAAATCATAATGGAAATTGGAAAACATTTAGAATTTAAGGGATTGGTACTCTCTTAGCAATGCAGCTTCCATCCTAGCAAGGCCCTACTCCAGAGGTTTTTACCCACATTCTGGTGAACACTGAACCCTTCATATGTATACTGCCAAAACGACCAATATAAGGCATTCATTTTAGTTGTAATTAAACACACCATTGGGGAAAAATCTAATGACGACTGGGCCAAAACAATCACTAACAGGGTGCAACTTGCCATAAATAAGAAAGAAATACCACCTACCAAAGGGAAACCAAATGAGTGTATTGATAACTGGTTGTTTTTATGGACATTATGAGACATTATTTTTTACATTACACATGTAAAAGCATAATTTTATATATAATATGTAAATGTAATTTACATGTTAAAATAATAGGTATATAGAATATGCTATAATAAAAGCATATTTTAATAGTTATTAACTTAAAGTCTTAGATGATTTGTTCTAGGATATGGAGTTAGGGAATAACATTACTAGCAACCACTGACCCAACATTGGACAGTTACAACACATGTCAATAATTACTGCAAGCTCCCATGGTTGCAGGTATTAATCTATTTGCTTGGCTTTTAGGTTGGTTGGTTGGTTGGTTTCTATTTCCCACTAGGTTATCCATTTCATTAAACCAGGATATATATATATAAAATATATATGTAGGATATGTATCTTTATATATATATAAAAGGACCCCATGGGGGGGGAGGGAAGCCATCTTTTTCTTTGTTCCTTTTCCTGCTTCTTTTCTCGCTAGGAACTGCACCTCTGCCTTACACATGACTTAACGCATGTTCTTGTAAATGTCAGGAGTTAATGATTTCTTTGGAGTCTTCCAGCACAATACATAACATCTAAGGAGTGACCAGTCAGGGTCATAA